AGAGAGAGAGAGAGAGAGAGAGAGAGAGAGAGAGAGAGAGAGAGAGAGAGAGAGAGAGACCAAAACAGAGAGACAGAGGGAGGGAGACAAGTACATACATAGAAAGGGAGAGAGAAAAAGCAAATCGAAGTCGTCATTTAAAAACTGGAAGTGCATACTACACTTCATCGTCGCAAATACAAATTCAGAGATGACGGAATAATCCGTCCCGACAGAGGGCAGTGGCCTACAAGTAGCCCGAAAAATAATTAAAAAAAACAGAACACAACATACGCCAATGTGAGTGGTGAAGTCATCCACCCAATCGGACCACCACCCACTTCCCTGGCCAGCACGGCCAATCAGGAACCGCCACGTCCACGACAGGCAGGCGACGGGTACACCGACGACGGAAAGGCTCCGACTTTCGCGTCTTGCGGACAACGGAAGCGACGAGGCGCACAACAGAGGCTGAACGAGCTTTAACGCTCGCGGATGGCCTTCGCTATCTCCAAAAGAGCGTGACACATCAGTTTGCTAACTTCGTCAGACGCCGCGTAATGTTTTTTTTTAACTTCCACCTCTGCTTCCAACGCCTCGCATTGCCGGATTTGGATGGAGCACTGCCGCTTGTTGTTGCTCTCCATCGTTGACGCCACCAGAGCCCCGTGCTTCTCCATGCAATCCCTCAACGCTTCGAATGTTTGCTGCCTCGTGCTCTTCCGCTTGCCGAAACCGACATGGCTTCCCGTCGTCTGAGAAGAACCTCTCGTCGACCCGTCCTCGTCGTTGTCGTGCCCTGCAGCAGCGTCCCCATCGCCCACAGATTCAGGATCCGCAAAAGTGGCAGATGGCAGATGCACACTACCCGGAGCACCAATGTCGGCGACGTTCTTGGGGTTTATGGCGTGGCTCTTCGCAGTCGACCCCAGGATCTCGTCGTAAACCGCACGATCCATGTTGAAATTGAAGCCCTTCGACAACCTCTCTTTCTCGGAAAATTGAAAGAAGTCATGCTTCCCTAACAAGCCTTGGAAGTGATGCACCTTCTTGAACTGCTGCATCAAATTGTCCCGTTTCTTCCCGCACTGTTCGGCCTCTCTGTCGACGCCCACCTTCTTCAACCTCTGCTCCACATCCAACCACTTCCATTCCCGCGGCTTCATACGAGTGTACGCGGTACCCATCCCCTGCAGATGCGCTTCCTGGTCACGTTTAGCCCCGATGAGGGCGATCATGTTGTTCATGGACCAGAACTGACGACCTCCTTCCGCATCAACATCAGCTTCGGCATCGCTCCCCTTCCCCACCGCTTTTTTCCCCCGACGACCATTGCGAGCACACGCCCTCGTCTTCCCGCCCCTCCCTCCCATGCTGCTTTGCTTCAACGGCTTTACATGGCTGCGTCGTCCTCCCCACCTTTGCCATCGTCATCGTTCCACTCCTGATCGTCCGCGCCCACCGCAGGTGCGTCGCCATCGTTTTCTCGCTCCCCCACACGCAGTCGCTGCACCCCCCGAGTTACGGATTCCTCCCGTCATGGATGAAGCGCCCGTCGCTGTTCTGCCCACACCTCCCTCCCATTGCGTGCAATACCAACATCGTCGATGCCACAATCCGTCTCTGCGCATTCGCATCCACGACGGGCTGCAGTTGAACTGGCGGACAGGAGAGACAGAGACTTCATCCATAAGGGGCGACCTGAGGCAGGCCTCGACATAGACGGCGTCCGGAATTGCTGCCTCGGAGGATCCCCGTTGTTCCCCGACGCCTCCTGGATCGGAGCTGGAGACTTCGATGACCGCGCAATAGCCGTCACCTGCCCGCCCTCGTCGTCGAGATGGTTGTTCACGATCACTATTCGCGACGTGGCCGACGACCTCCCGCTGCACAGCCCGAATGACAGATTCACGCCTCCATCGCCTTCGTCGCCACTCGGCCCCTGCTGGAGGAGTTCGGTGTACGGCTGGCCATAACCGCCGCCGCGGCTTCCACAGAGCTCTGTGGCCGCCCACTCCTCGGTGGACCCGCTTCTTAACAGCACAGTACGTGGCCGTCTGTCCTTCTCCTCATCGGACGTGTCCAACAGAGGCTGCAAGTGCGGTGGCAGGTGTGCGTACCCAGACCGCTCCGACGACCTTGAACTTCTCGCCGGGCTCTGCCCAGCCCGGTGGCCCCCACCCTGATCCCGTGCAGACTTGCACATCCCCTGTCGCCCCTCCACACCGACGTCCTTCTTCGAAGAACGTCTTTTGCAGCCACGCCGTGGAACGACGCCGAGGATACACACATGGAAGAAAACTAGAGAAGAACAGGACAACGACCAGCACCAGCAGCGGCAGCCTCCGAAAGACGTCGGCCATGAAACGCACGTGGAGGACGCCAACAGCTAGAAGACAACGGTGGACGTCCAGGAAACAGCGAGGGTGAGTGGCGCAAACAGTCGATCGCAGATACCGATTGAAGCACGCTAACGTATTCCGTCGCGGAAGACACTGCGCGATCTGGAGAGCGGGGGACGGCTGAAGTATTCGAATCCGCCGACCGTTGGGCGGTTTCCCGCTATTGCCGAAGGTAGCGACGCAAGGCAGCCCCTATTCGACGTCGCAGACGACGGCAAACCGCCAAAGACGACCGTTGGCAGAGTATTCCATGACGCTGACCGTTGCCAACCGGAGATGTCCGTCCACGGGCTGCCAGGAACAGCAATGGACCAGCCGCGTCGAAAATTATCGTCGACAGAGCTGCCGTCGATGCCCCGATTCTTCTGGATGCTCAACCTCCAAGGGACCTCGGGAGGTCCTTTGGGGAACGCGTCGAAATGGCTGTGGCCCGAGGAATCACCAAGGAAATGTTTTCACTTTTTTTTTTCGTTTTCTTTCCCGAGGATAAGTGGAATGATGATTTCCTCGGGGATTTTACGCGCCCGAGGAGTGTCGAACGAGCCCCAGAGAGAGAGAGAGAGAGAGAGAGAGAGAGAGAGNGAGAGAGAGAGAGAGAGAGAGAGAGAGAGAGAGAGAGAGAGAGGAAGAAAGAAAGAAAGAAACTTTCAGAAAGAAAGAAAGCCAACTGCTATACAAAAGAGTCGAAAATTCGTTCTACGAGCACCCGATCTTTCATCGGCACCTAACAATCATTTAGGGGAAATCCGGAAAATAGACATTTTTTAGTGATTTTACAAAATTTCATGAGATTGGGTGTCCCAAAAGATCTAGTAGTTTTTAGCATATTTGTGTCCTCGTGACGTCGGACCATTGATGGGGGCGCTGGATCACCCAGGATGCCGTACCATCTGATGTACCTCAATTTTTTTTATTTTTTTTTTTTACGCTCAGATATATTTTGACCGTACTTTATGTCGAGGTAGATCAGATGGTCCGGAGTCCCCAAGACGGCTGACCATCAATGGTCCGATGTTGTAGGGACAAAAAATTGCTTAAACATATTTTTTATCTTTTTTACACTCAATTTTTATTATTATTATTATTATTTTTAACAACCCGAGAGGTTGCTGGGGGTGCTGATAGGAGCAGACACCACCAACACCTTCGGGGAGTCTCCATGTAATGGTGGGGAGCAGCACCTGCTGGAAATCGGGCCCAGCGTCCCTGTAACGTACAATATGATGAATGAAAACATGCAAGCAAGAGTTGTCAATATGCATGAGGGGGCCAGGCGGTAAAGAGCCCGACCTTACTATGGCGTGTTGACTGTCAATTATCATCTATATACTCATTACCTTATTCTGTTATGTCTATAACTATCTGTAACTATACCTCTGCCAACGCCCAATGGCTCGTACTGTGTGAGGTGTAGTTGAGGTGTGTAGTTGAGGATGTTCCTGAGTGGTATTGTTTATTTTCTAGTTCGTTGTGCTGCATAAGATGTGGCTGAGTATATTCGAGAGCGTGTGTTCTGTGGTATAAGCATGCATATGAGTCGGTTGTTTAACAGGAAGGTCCTATCAGACAAAGGGTAACTAGTCCTTCCTCATTGTCTAGACTGCATGAAAATTGAAAAAGAAGTTTTATTTTTATTATTTTCTTAAGCACTGAGACGCAGCCCCTTCTATTCTGGGGGGCACCAGTCCGGTTGCTTATCACCAGCAAGCATGATACAGAAGCCAAAATCAGTGAACATCGTTTATATCCAAGCACACACCATTTATCAAAGACGCAGAACTGCTGCAGTGGTAAGCGGTTGGAAGATTCCCATTGGTACCCAGTCACTGCAGCCCCCCGCCCAGATACCCATTATCCTTTGCATATTACCCCTCCCCTCATTACCTGCCCCCCACCCCTCCCCCCCCCACTCTGCCCCACCTTTCCAAGTTCATATGATTATCTAGCAGCCTGCATATTTACCATCGCCCTAGATGCATATCAATCCTCACGAGTCTTTAGCTCCTTTTTGGCGCCCATCATACCCTCTGCGCATGAATGCGTGTCTGCGCCCATCTTCTAGCATATTATATTTTTACATATGGCACTACTCCATGCTTTGCCCATTCGTCATTCGTCTTCCCCAAGCCATTCCCCTCCTCGCGCTTATGAAGTTTTTTCTATATGACTCTACTTCACAGTTTTTCACTCGTCGTTCTCGAGTCGTGTTTCCTCCACTGATTGTAGCTGCCCCCATCGCATTCCCTGAGCATGTGATGATCCAATACTTCAATCTACTGCAAATATGTGGCATGCCTACATTTTTTATACCTTTTCGATTTCCACCAACCCAACCCCGTTACCCCCCCCCATCCCCCTCGCCCCCCCCGCAGGTGCCCCTTCCTCCTCCTGCCAGGCCGGATGGTTGGATTTAAGTAGCGGGCCAAAAAGGAGATGCCCGTGCACCACTTGCACCAGACTTGTATGGACCCCCCTTATCTGCGTAAAGGCAACAATGAACTTGACGGAGCAGGAGATGGAGGCACTCACGCGACTAGTGCAAATCGGGAATAGAGACATCATAGCAAGCTCGTTTAACGAAGACACGAAAGAAGAACTGGCGATGACAGTGAACGATTTTAGCTTGCTTATGATAAAAAAAACATTGTTGAACGAGGAGATAGTGGATTTTTATCTTAACCTCATTCGACTAGACAACGAGTGTTGTGGGAATAACGAGCTTAGGGGTTCTAGAAGTCGAGCCATTAGGCATCAGTGTGGGAAGTTCGGGAGGGATAGATGTGTGGTGCTACAACTTTTACCTGTGGACCGGGGATTTCGATATAGTGCTCTACGTGGAAGAAGGGGCCGATCAAGGGGAGGACTTTCTTAGTAGCTGGGAAGAGGCTGTTGGGCATGCTCAACTAGAAAGGGAGCTTTTAGAAAATTACGGGATCCGGTATTTCTACACGTTGGGTTATCGGACCTTCCGACGAGGAGAAAAACCTGCCCCTACGATACCGGAGGCGTATCTTGACGGGTCGGACGGTTGAAAGGTGTTGGTGGGGATTATCGAGGAGGTAGTCCAGAGCCAGAAAGGACATGGTTAGGATTGTAGAAGCGACTGACGATGGTAGGATCCAAATCGAGAAGACGGACCTTCTCAAAGACAGAGAGTGCTTAAGTGTTCCCTTAGATCACCGTACGGAGAGATATCTGGTTGGGCGCGAGAGAGGCGTGAAACTCGAGAAGGGAGTTTTTCTCTGGGCACGGTTCGCCGTGGGAATTTGAGTAGGTGATCAGTGGACCAAGAATAGACCTAGGAATGGGGGAAAGGCCCGACAGGCAGCGGTCCGCGCTGAAGGCACGGTCTACTTGAGTCAAGAAACTTGGGTAGAATATGTCACTCACTGGGCATTAGAGTGGTATCGGACCGACCATTGGGAGGCGCGAGTAGGGCCTATTCTAAAACAGATTTTTGAGGAAGTGCCCGTTCGGCACCGTCTGCCGATCCACTTGCGGGTAACTTGCGCTCGGGATGGCGAGTACCCTCGCGCTACGGGGTGTGTCCGGAGGGTGTGTGGGAAAGGGGCCGCGTACGAGAAGGTCGTGAAATCTATAAGGCGGGAGAAAAGGAGAGAGTTGTCCTTTCGTTCACTTCATTGGTACTTCTCCTATTGCGTGGATAACCAAGTGCCATACAGGGTTAGGGCCGACCTGATCCGAGAGAGGATCTCTTTGGGATCAGAGAGAGACCGTGAAGGTGGGAGGGACTACTGTTACCAAAGGGTGTTTGGAATCCGCCAAAAGGTATTTTAGCCTGAATGGTTCTTTTGACAAGGACCTCGGTCAGTTTGTCGGATCCCCTTTAGACGAGCGAGGAGTTCGTAGCTTGGTTCCGAGCAACTAGGAAGTCCCCGATTGGGGGAGATTGGAAGGTGGAGAGATCACGGGAATTTCGTGTGGGTAGAGTCGGGAGAGGTAAGGGGTAGAGTGACTGGGGTACATCTCAAAGTCACTGCGATAATCTTCGTCGAACCAGCCGCTTGGGCAAAGGTCATAGTACCAGTCTTAGGCCAAGGGGGTGGGCTGGATCTATTGCTCCAAGAAGTAAGAGAAGTAAGGAGGAGGTGGATAGTTAGGACCCGGAGGGAATTTAGCTTTGTGGCAATAGAGGCAGAGAGGTTCGCTCGGGCAGGTGAGCTCCCGAGGGCAAGTTATCCGGTGACCAGAAGGGCCCCGGGCTTTGTGTTCTTAAGCTCAAACGAGGATAAGGTAGTAAAGTTCCTGGAAAGAGGAAGAAGTTTAGGCCTACCCTTTAGGGCCCTGTGGATACTTTACACTCACTGTGTCGACCAGAGGATCCCTCCGCGAGGGAAACTCTGGGGTATTTTTAGAAGGTTTGGGTCTCTGGAGAAGTCTATCACGCTCTCGCCTAAGAGGTACCGCGAGTGGGTCTTCAAACAACCGTGGTAGATGGTAAGGTTCATGCTCAGTAACAACGGAGTGGTAGAAACAATAGAAGCTGGTGAAGGGAGCTAAGTCTTGATTCCTGGGGACCCTCGCGTGACTTCTTACTGGATGAGTGTTAAGAAGGGAGAGGACATCGGAGAAGGCGCCTACGTGTGGATCCGGGCTCGCCGACTCACTTGGAAGGAAGGAGTAGAAAGGGGGGGACCACCGCACCTAGGACGGTTCCTCGAGGTTCAGGCTACGGTCTTCCTAGACGAGGACTCGTGGGCCAAGGTTTGGAGGGGTTTTGTGACCGGTTTGGAGGCCCATGCAGGGTACCTCGGGTCTACAAGAAAGGTAGCGAACAACTTAGTTCTGACTGACTACGAGGAGGGGACA